GAATTCGAAGTCCTAAAAAACGTTATAGGCAAAATAGTGTATTCAAGCAAAATAGTGTAATCAGCAAATGGACTGCTCCTCGGGTTATAGTGTGGTATGACATGTCATCAAAACAGCTCCCGTAGGATTTGTATGCTAAAATTGATTTTTTTGTTGTTTTGGGTTGATGTTGGATCAATCTATTCAAAAATGTTGGGGTTCAAATTTTCTGACCCCTTAACCCCTCTGGGAGGGTCATTTTTGAAATGGAGACCCCTCTGAACGAGAACATGGCTATCTCCGCTAATAATGGTTGGATTTTCATGAACTGAAGTCTGTTATCGTGTTTTTTCATCATTCCGATCCCATCTATGATACACTTAAAGCGATTGGAAGTAGTTTTCATTGACTTCCGGTGGTGGGGAATACCAATTTCCGGTGTCAAACTCGGATTGATTTCAGCCAATAATCTTTGGATTTTCATGATCTGAAGTTCATTCTGGTTTTTTTTCATCATGCCGACCCCATCTATGATACACTTAAAGCGAATGGAAGTAGTTTTCATTGACTTCCGGTGGTGGGGAATACAAATTTCCGGTGTCAAACTCGGATTGATTTCAGTCAATAATCTTTGGATTTTCATGATCTGAAGTTCATTCTGGTTTTTTTTTCATCATGCCGACCCGATCTATGATACATTTAAAGCGAATTGAAGTAGTTTCCATTGACTTCCGGTAGGAAATATCAATTTCCGGTGTCAAACTCTGGTTGATTTCAGCCGATAATCTTTGGATTTTCATGATCTGAAGTTCATTCTGGGTGTTTTTCTTCATCATGCCGACCCCGTGTATGATACACTTCAAGCGAATGGAAGTATTTTTTATTGACTTCTGGTTGGAAATACCAATTCCCGGTGTCAAACTCGGATCGATTTCATCACACAGTACCACTTTTTTGGACTCCTGAATCGATTCGCATGGTGAATGCCACTTCTAGGCCAGGAAGTTTCTGCATGTTTGATGTTTTCTTCATACTCTGACGTACAGCAATAGCTTAAATGATGAGAAGTTTGGGTGGTGTGGCCTGTGCTGTATCTACCAGGCTAGCATGACACTGGTTGAGCCTTTGCTCCTTCAACAGCATATCCTAGCATGTTTGATACTTCAAAGGGTTCTCATCATTGAGAAACTCTTAGATCTTGCATCTGTAGCTGAGAGTTACTGGCGGGAAGCACGTGTTTGGTCACGTGACGCCGATGACCTCACAATTCTCATGGACCTTGTCTCCCGGGGTCGTCTCGGTATTCGTAGTCATCTCAGGTTTGTAACCGAGAAGGCCGCAAAACACAGAGGCCTAGAGATAGATGTGATCGAGGGAGTGTATGTCATTGGAAGTCATAAGTGTCAAGGTCTGATTGGACTTCGCAGCTTCTCTGGTACTGACTGGAGAGGTAAACTTGTGGGCACCACAAAGAAAACAAGGGCTGGTGCATACATGGAGCTTGATGGTGATGACTCTGTTATCATCTGTTTCAAGAAGTTTGGAGAAGGGTGACTTGCCTTTGCAAGTCAAGGAATTGGAGAGATTTGCCTGCCAAGTCTACTCTTCACCTGTTCCTTTAAACCTTACGGCACTTAGATGGCAATTGTTCAGTTCAGAAACCCTGGGAGAGATAGAGATGCTTCCACTGACTCGTACTGCATTGTCGCCCCATATCGCAGGAACAAAGTACATCGCGATACGCGGCAAGTCGTAGCTAACCCGATCCCTGAACCTTCCTGCCATTTAAAAACAGCGGCTGGCAGTTGGACAAGGGCATTTATGTTCCTGTGCCGAATCTTGATCTGCCTGCCCATCGTGCTGCATAGGGCGATGCAGTTGCTAAAAATGGTCTGCCTTATACATCTTTCTACACGTGTTTTGATAAGGACCGTACCAATACGATTAGGGTGTTAGGAGAACGAGGATGATGAATAACTGGTGTATTTATTTCCAAGATAGGATCGTTTTGTTTCATTTCTGGCGACTTCTGGCTTGTTAAGATTCTTTATGTTTTTGATAATAAACTTGTTTACTTGTTACAAATGTCAAAGTGTCTTGAATCTCATGACAGAACATTCCAGTCACCCAAAAGTGGCCATATTAATCATTTTACCATGCTTCAAAATCCACAAAAGGTGGTAGGCTGAGACACCGGAAATTGGTATTCCCCACCGGAATTCAATGAAACTCCACCCATTTGCTTTAAGTGTATCATAGATGGGGTCGGCATGAACTTCAGATTGTGAAAATCCAACCATTGTTGGCAGAGATTGCCATGGACTCGGTCAGAGGGGTCCCGATTTAAAAAAAAAACCTCCCAGAGGGGTAAAGGGGTCGGAAAATTTGAACCCCAACATTTTGGATAGCTTGGTCCAACATCAACCCAAAACAACAAAAAAAATCAATTTTAGCATACAAATCCTACGGGATGACATGTCATACCACACTATAGAGCAGGAGCCCAGGGGGTTAACCTAGCTGAAAAGTGTACCAATTTTATCCTATATGGTATCAATGTATGTATATCTGGTATCATCAGAATGTAAGTCTGCCGGGTTTCTGGTGGTGGGTGGGGTATTCCACGCCCAAAATGCGATGCCCCCCCCCAACTAGTCTAGATTAGCTCAAAAGTGTACCACATGAAAATCGCACAGCAATGTACCGTACATCTTCAGGTATTACAAAAATACTCTGACAGACATTTCTAGTGGTGGGGTACCCCTGACAGAGCTATGTAATTGCCAGACATTTGTAGTGATGGAGTATCCCTGACAAGAGTTATCTAATTTCCAGACCAAAGCTAGGCTAGATTAGCTCAAATCTGTACCACCTAAAACAGCTTTGGAGTTGTTCAGTACCACCACAGGAATCCTGAATGACCACTGCCAGGCAGTTTGTGCGGTGGGTTGCCCCTAACAGACACGCCCAAAATAACACGACCCCCCACTAGGATAGATTAGTCGGCACTGTTCCTGTGGTCCAAAAAATTAAAAATTGTGCCAGGATGCGTAGAATACTAATACCTAGCACATATGGAAGAGGTGATAAACTGCGGTTGTAGGAACAATTTTATTTTTGAAAAACGCATTTTTAGCCCCATAAAATGTTTTTTGCCCAAAAATCAATTTCTTGCAATCGCAGTTTATCGCCTCTTCCATACGTGCTAGGTATTAGTATCCTAAGCATCCTGGCTAAAAATCTAATTTTTTAGAACACGGGAACAGTGCCTGCGAAGCTAGCCTAGTTGGGGGCGTGGCATTTTGGGGCGTGTCTGTTAGGGGTAACCCACCGCACAAACTGTCTGGCAGTGGTCATTCATGACTCCTGTGGTGGTACTGAACAACTCCAAAGCTGTTTTAGGTGGTACAGATTTCAGCTTATCTAGCCTAGCTTTGGTCTAAATATTAGATAACTCTTGTCAGGGATACTCCACCACTATAAATGTCTGGCAATTACATAGCTCTGTCAGGGGTACCCCACCACTAGAAATGTCTGTCAGAGTGTTTTTGTAATACCTGAAGGTGTACGGTACACTGCAGTAAGATTTTCGTGTGGTACACTTTTGCGCTAATCTAGCCTAGTTAGGGATCATGGCATTTAGGGCGTGGAATACCCCACCCACCACCAGAAACCCGGCAGACTTACATTCTGATGATACCAGATATACATACATTGATACCATATGGGAGAAAATTGGTACACTTTTCAGCTAGGTTGACCCCCTGGGCTCCCGGTCTACTATTACCCTTTGAATATTTATAGACTAGCAAATCACCAGCCTTCTCTTCCCTTAAACCTGTGTAAACTAGTTCATAATTTAGCAAATAGAGAAGGTAGAGTTATGATTTTTCCAAGATAATTATAGGGTTCTTAGATCAAATGGAGAGTTGAAGGGAAATAACCATAACATTTTTACATATAGGTTGATTTAATAAATAGTTATTTAGATAAACTGTTAAAAGTATAAAAATTGTATTTTAAAATTTCGTTAAGCATAAAAATCAACAGAGCACAGGGGCACTGAACAAATCAGTTACCGTATGCAATGGGGGGGGGGGGGGTCGTCACTGAAACTTTTGCCTTGGGGCGCCATATTATAGGCTTGTGATGGCCCTGCGAAACTTTTATCCTTGTTTGTGCAACTACAAGCGGGGAATCGAAACGACCTTATACCGCACGCCTTATATCCCCCCCCCCCCCGGCCCACCCGCCCAATGCAGGATGAAATAAATATACAAATCACACAAACCACGTTAAACTAATCTAGCGAACTTTCCCAAGCGGCTCAGTATTTTGATTAGAAATTTTCATACACTCTACTGTTAAATCTCGGACTTCCTCTTTAAATATTAATGATCCATATAGATTGTATACGTTGCCGTTATTGGGGGGGGGGGGCAGGGGTTGAAAATGAAAGTCGCACAGATGGGCCTCGATGTGCTAATATTATGTGGACCGCGCGTTAGGCATCATGGCCACGATGGCCTGCTGCAAATTGGTTTCATTGTTTATTTCAAAAATTTTCGCGACATGTAGGGCCTACTTGGCAATATTCGACTTTCAACTTTCTAATCTGGAATTCATATTTCATAATGGACTGGTGCGCCAATTAAACAGGCGACGTCAAAATGCGAAACAAGCCACATTAAGGCATAGTTTGGCAAAAGGCAATAAGATATCCATAGTCTTTATTAACCAGCCTTTCAAAAATGTTGATGAGATTGCGAATAAGGAAGTAGGTCATCTTGGATGCCTCCCGATTCCTGACAAACTTGAACGTCTATGATGATAAAATGTTTTTGTATTTTGTACAGCTATTACAATACCAATTGTTAATAAAATGTTTTCATGTGTTTTAATCTAAATGCAAGTCCATTCTTTCTGATTGACGGTAGAAATGAAATATTTTATATTATTTTATCGGTTAGTAGCGCCATCCAATATTCCCTGGGCGATGGTAAAGTTGCGCAAACCAATGCGCAGTAATGCATTTCTGTATGCAAATACTATGTTGTGAACGCCATCTTGAATCGGATAGGAGAGAGTAGCTGTTTTATCTAGAAAATATCGTATCAATAGAGTGCCATCAACGGCACATTTACTTTTGTTTTACTGTAGGTGAGCCCGAAGATGGCTTCTACAGACAGTAAGCTTTCGACGACGGAAAGGATTGTCAAAAGTAAGTTTTATATCTCGCCGTTTCTCTATGGTCCGACTCTATCGCCATGTTAGCCTAGTTGTCAGCCATTATCATAAACGCGCAGATGTTAGAAATGTCAAAAATATTCAGAAACTGTATAACGTTTTACACCAAAATATAGTGCATTTTGAACTAACATGGCTATTTTTTGTGTTATTCATATTAAGATTTTTAATGCCTTGAAATTATCCGATACTGGAGTGGAAGATCTTTGTGTGTAGGCCTAGTCAATGATGAATAAAATAATACCTCGACTCATAACTAGTACTGCCAGTGACAGGACATAACACCGTCTGACTTATAGCTCAGTAATACGATTTGCGAAGTTATTGCCAAAGTATAAAATCGAGGTTTACTATCAATATTAATGGTACTGAGAATTTAGGCAATTTAATTTGATAGTAAATATAACTATAACAATAACCCGTATCTTCATATAGATCTAATATTATAAATAAAGTTCTTCCGAATGATTGAAATTGAAATACTCATACTCATACTGTACACATGTACTTACTGCATACATGTTCCTAGTATTATTTCCATTTCTTTATATTTGTAACTTGGCATTGTCATTGATTGAATTGTTACATACAAAATAAGTTCAATGCTAAATTTCAAATGTCAACCAACCTAGATTTGTCCATGACAGTCATTAGGCCGATTAGTATACTATTACTATGTTGTCTACAAAATTGGATTTTGTACAATTTTCTTTCAAGTTGCCAGGCAATGAAACTTAAGCTTGCAGGTAGGTTACCATCGGTGCTGCAAAGTGCTAAAAACACTGATGACAACACAACATTGTAGCTCAATCTATTTGTTGAATGTTAATTATGGCAATTATGCATTAAACGTATTGTGAAAGTTGAAACTCGAAACATATCAATCCAAACATTTTTCAATTCTGGCCCTCTTTTAGTTTTCAAGCACCTGTTTAATGGAATAATCTAAAAGATGTTGTACATCTCTATCACTGACTAGTCTATGATGTATGTATTCTCTTAAAACACATTTATTTATTTATTCAGGCTTTTAACTGACTCTGTATACAACTGTTAACATGTCCATAATCTTGTTGTAAGGGTTTCAGGTCAAAGTTTTAAATGACAAGAACAAATTTTTTAAAACTATTTTGTGAAAATTTACATAAAATGCTACCCCAAATTCTTTATTTGTTTAAAAATTCCAATTAGATCCAAAGTTTTGGTATTTTAAAATCTGAGGTCGACGTCAATATTGTACCGTAATCAAAATGCTCTATTACAGTCAATGTCTGCCATGGCACCAAAATAAGTGCTTTTCAGTCATATCTGAGTGATGTCATTTTATAAGCGGTATTTTGCCTTCAGAATTGCTAGTACCAATTTTAAAACTGAAATCTGCACGTTATAGTCCGCTAAGATTTATTAAAATCGTAATAATTTGAATGATATGTCAAATATTTATAATCTGGATGATATTGATACCACAAAAAAAGTAGGCTATATTTCGTGAAAATTTATGAAATTTCATTCAGCAAACAGAAAAATCATGTTTTCTACGCCTGTAGTTGTTGTAGCTCGGGGTATCGAGCACCATAATAATCACAAAAATCGGGCCTCGAAATGTCTAAAAAAAGGTTTCTTTTCTTCATACCTGTCGCTTCAGTAAATAACCTGTCACTCTCAATTATCAAACTCAAAGACTAATCACATCACACATATCCATACATGTAGGTACACACGCACGTGATTAGGTCAAACACACATGGTTAGGTCTTTGACGTACATATCGTAATATGAAACCTTTTTATTTCTTCGACATCGGATTGCCTAAAAGTTCTTGAAAGTCGGCGAATCTGCTTTGGCTCAGCGACTCGAAGATTCGTACAATTCTATCATCCGTATCCACGTGAATTCCGCAAAGTATCATGGTACCACACTTCCGTACTAAATCGAATACTTCACCGTTGAGTTGTAGAATTCAGATTTTAAAATATCCGTAATAAATTGAATATCAAAACAGGTGCATGGCACTGTATTTACATCTACCGCGTGTGAAGGACAGATAACGCCACCTGGGATTGCCTTCTCACATATCCGGACTATATTTACGCTGCAAATTATATATAAATATATATGAAATATTTTTCCAACCTGATTTTTTGATTTTGTCAAATTGTCTTATAAATTATTCATAGCCTTTAATTATGGAAATTGTTTAAAACTTTTTAAATGATTAAATACACCAAGCAACGAGCCGCGTGCATTTCCATTCCAACCACTACTATATTTACTGTGGTGTCGTTACGGTAGAATTATTTCAGTTGACTTGGGGGTGCGTTTTAATTTATTTAGATATTATACTCCATAATGCTATAAACTAGTGTCAAGCAGATGAAAACAAGCGTAGATGGTGTGAAATTCATTGATATAAAATTGTCTACTTCCAAACTGTGGGAGTAACTGTAGCCTACGACAGAGCGAAATGTAAACAGTGCAAATGGCGGCTTTCCGCGGTATTTATTATTTACGTGCTTAATTGAATAATTCTTGCATTTAGAAACAAATAATTAAATTTACGTGACGTGGACGTGAGTATTGTGGTCAATTTACTGAACATCAAGTAAAATTTAGTCCACCTGTTGCAAGCGACAGGTAGTTTTATTTGCTACCTGTCAGACGAAAAAATCGCCTGTCGGCGACAAGTAGACAGGCAAACATTTCGAGCCATGCACACAGGTCATTGGAACCATTCATCATGGCGTGTGTGTAAATGTGTAGTAAATTCTTTGGAAATACCTGACATGTTAAATAATCAAAATTATCTTGTATTTAAAAATACAAAGGTATGCTTTCAAATATTTATGTCAGAACTAATCTAATCTTATAAAAGTATAAGTGAGTCTTTTGGTTTTAAATCAACCTGATTTCAACTGGTTTATAGTAACCTGTCAAAGCGTGCAAGATGGAGAAATGTCAAGAATGAATGAATAGAAGGGGTACAAAAAATGTCCATACAGCTCTAAGTTTTACTACAGAAAATCTATTGTTATGATTGAGTTTTCCTTGGAATTTGAGAAATAAATGTGCGATGGTTTACAGTTTATTTATCTATATCGTCACTAGTTTAATTCACAAATCAATGAAAGGGCACTAGCCCAGGACTAGTACAGCTAAATGATCACTAGCCCGTAAGTTATTTTTGGTAGCCCCGGGCGTTGGGCTAGTGGATTTTTACAATCCTGACTCGAACACATCCTGGCACGCCATTGGTGTGTTAATTTAAAAATTTTCATTTTGTCTTAAATATTAGATATCAGAAGCCTATCTTTTCATGGTAATATAACATCAGTGTTAATTTAAATTGACCAATAAGTCGTGTTTGAAATGTCAAAGACTGGGTGATATTGAGTTAGATTTTACTGCCAATTTAGCCCTGATGGAAAATTAGATATTTTCAAAAAAATGCAAAATTAGAAGCGGCTCTAAAAAATTTCAACATTGAGATATCATTTGTAATTGTATTGACATAATTTGTACATTTGACATCATGGTTCACTATTTCAATTCTTTCCATTCCAGGTGTACCCTTTCCCCCTAGTCATAAGCTTACTATGAGTGAAGTATTTGATGCCAAAGGTAAACCAAGGCCAGATGTTTTAAAACAACATTTTATCTTAGAAGGTAGAGTAACAGAAGATGTAGGAATAAGACTGATCAATGAAGGAGCTGCTTTATTACGACAAGAAAAGACAATGATAGAAATAGAAGCACCTGTAACAGGTATATTATGATTTTTTGAAATTAGTCTTTTATAATATTGACAGTTTTGATGAGATGCAAGTCTAGACATTGTTGTAGACTTGATTATAGTGCCGATATGGTGGTTCAGTGTGTACGGTAATTGTTCCAGCAGCCAGGAGGTTCGATCGCAATGTTGGCCGAAAAACTTGCTTCTTTATATTTTCCAACCAGTGATGAAGGAAGGATGATCTGCAAAGAAAAAGATGTCATTGCAAACGAGAAACCCCAAGTCAACCAATACTACATTGTGTCTTACATTTGGTTAAAAAGGATTTCATTTCAATTAGTTAAGAATAGGGCCATCAAAAAGAATTAATATACTTTTATTGCTGCCTGCTGTATGAGTTTCTAGTGGTTTAGACATGTAATATTACTTTGGTGCTTTACGACACAATATCAAGCTTCTAGTTGAGATTGCAGCATATTTGAAATCTTATTTTTTAAAATTTTGTTTTCAGTATGTGGTGATATTCACGGTCAGTTTTATGACTTAATGAAATTATTTGAAGTTGGTGGCCCACCTTCAACAACTCGCTACCTCTTCCTAGGAGACTATGTAGACAGAGGTTACTTTAGCATAGAGGTAAGTTTATTATTCTTTCACATTGAAATGGGGGTCATATCTTCTTGTCGCCCCCATCCCAGGGTCCATGAATCCCATTAATTTGAATGATGATTTTCAATAATTGCTGTCGATAGTCCTTGATCAATTTGCAAAATCTTGTGGAAGCTCTAGAGGCTAAAATTAAATGAATTTGAAATTGGTACACAGTAGGGGTATAAAAAACAATTTGAATCCACTAGCCCAGGGCTATTAGTCTACTGTCGGACGCCCGGCTCTTAATTTTCACTGCTTTCTGTACCTTCTTATCTTTTAAACGGATTTCTTCGATTATGAACAAACTATGTTATTTTGGATATTGTAAACTTACGTGTGTTTGAAATAAATTCGGTTGAAGATACATTCTTGGGTACAAACTGGGTGATTTGATGATATATTTGGACTAAAAACATATTCAAACTAATTAATTTATCATAATTTTGCTTCAAATCCTGAACAAAACATTGCAATTGTCAGGGAATAGCCGACTATAAAAAATCGATCAAAGCGAGGTCGGGGGAGAATTCGTTGCATACACAAAACGATGTTGCCTTTATCGTTAAATATTTATTACAAATATCGAAGCCTAAGGCCGTGTTGAATTGATTCCTTGTTTCTCCTCGCCAGTGCGCTTAGGTCGAGGACCCCGAAAATCGTGGCTTAGGTTTTTAACATCTAAAAAAAAGTTCTATCAAACATCAGAAGTCAATTCTCGTTGTTTATTCCTCGTTACGAACTAAATAAGTAAGTGCAGGGGGGGCGCACTACAAGCAAAACAAAAATCTACAAGATAAACCTGCGGACAAGACAGAAAATAGGCATTGCACCAAATAAACAAATATCAAATCAAGTGAATGGATCCGGTTGATAATACACATGTAGGGGCCCGCATACTATGGAATAAGTTACACTGTATATGATTGGATGAATTCCGCAAAATGGCGCATGTAACAGTCATTTCGGCTAATGAGAAAGCATATTATAAACTGTAAGACAGTCGCTAATATTCAACCGGGAACCTGAATAATCAATTTTTTCATTGGCTAAAATTATAACACGTGTCATTATTATTCAAGTATTACCCAATCATATCTTGTGTAATAAATAATGCACGCCTTACAAAATGGTGAGCTATGCCGGGACATAGGTAAATTCGCGTACCGGTCGGCCTAATTTATTGATATTCAAGGAAATAATAGTGGTCCCGTTCGTTCGTTTCTGGAGTTTAATGAACGAACGAACGGGACCACTATTATTTCCTTGAACATCAATAAATTAACGAACGAACGAGACCACTAATATTTCCTTGAACATCAATAAATTAGGCCGACCGGTACGCGAATTTACTTATCTCGACTCGACTTTGGTGTGTATTCCCAGCACTTTCACGTTCGATGATATTGTCGAAACCATCTATAACTCAACAAACGAATCAAATTTCGTCTAACTGGAATGTTTCCATTGTATTGTAACACAAGAATAAGGAAAATTTATATCAAAATATGGTTATTTCATTTTTTAAAAAGTTAAACAAAGAAGCCACTTGTTACCAAATTTTAGTTTATTAAATTTATTTAATTAAATAAATATTATCTGTGTTTTTATTCTAACCAATAATATAACTAGATAATATATAATATTATTAAAAATGGTACACAACCCTCAGACTATATAGGTATTATGCCAGACCACTTTGTGTTTTGAAACCCACTTTGTGTTGTGTTTACCGCACTACCGCACATGATTGCCAGAGTGGTGGCAGGAGAAACAAGGAATCAATTCAACACAGCCTAATTAAATTCTCGGATTATCCACTGTACGACTCTTTTTCCGTGATTTTTTTCTCGGAAAGTGTTTTACGTCAAGCGCTCAATCGTTATAATCGTCGGACTGTCAATTAGGGAAACTGGTACATTTTTGTCCTGTATGTGCTCCATGAGTGTTTTTCAGGGAATCCATTATTTTTCTAGTAAGATTGGATATTTCTACTTGCCATATATACCAAAATTGTCATACTTTTATTGAAAATAACCACCCAATAAATACTTTTCTGGGAACATAGCTTTAAATACAATCTGTTGCACAATTCAATATCCCAGCGAAAAAAAAAGTACTCTCTTGAAAAATTTGGCATGATTACGTATATTTTCGACCGAGTACAAGACAACACTGCTTTCGTCACACGTTGGGCGAAACCAGTGAGGCTGTTGCGGGGGTGGGTTAACATTGACAGAGAGTTTGATAACCGCAAGTTGCAATGAAAACAAACCGCGATCGGCTCGATTGTTTGAGTTTGGGCAACGAAAAGTATCAACTGAAGGCAATTACATGTACATAAAAGATTTATATTGAAACCATTGATGGCCAGTCTACCAAATTGTATTCACAATGAAAATATCAATGATTGTAAGGATACTTGAAAAAATAAAGTCATATAAACTAAAACTTTCCTACATGTATCTTCTTTTTCTTATGAATAATTTAACAAACAAAATGGGTACAATTTTAAAGCCTGTTAAACGAATGTCATTATTTTTGTGCCGCATTTGTGTTCAAAAGAAAATTCTCCCATCCGACTAATCAAATAATTATAACAAAATATTTTAAAAGAAAATTTATAAACATGGATTTTACTAGAATGTAAAAAGATGGTAACAAAATAAAGGGATACGGGCAGTATGTGTAAATGCCCAAATTCAATACTGAGCTGAGACTGATAGCTTATACACCTTGAATTGTTGTAAATGTACTGCAAACCGTTTCGATGTGGCATGCTGTCACCCCTTTATATGAAATGATCTCTCCCAAAGAGTGACGTTATCGGGCTCAATTTTGGTATTGCCTGATGTCAACGGTTTGTGGTAGTTTAATTTTTCAAGAGAGAACTTTTTATTTGTTGGGATATTTGATTGTGCAAAGGATTCTATTTAACCAGAGTTGATTTTCAAACACACAGGTAAGTTTATAATAACCAAAGTTAATTAGTTTGTTCACAATCAAATTCTGTCTAACTGAACTGTATACTTATTCTCAGAGTCAGATCTCAATTATTTGGGCGTATGTTTTGTTGGCTCCCAACCTATCTTTTTAATTGCATAATAATTAAGGATGTAATAAATGGTTACTCCTTTAATGGATTATGGTGCAGTTGCACTGGTGAACCGGTTCAAAAAATGACTAACCAATATTCGTTTTCATATCATATCTGACCTTCAAACCCAGGAATGGTAGCCACAACAATGTTTTCTTTCATTAAAGACCACATAAATACTTCATGTAGTCTTGTCATTTGTAATAAGTCATGTGCAGGAAGTTAATGCTTTAGATTCCTGCTGCAAGTTTTGTATACTTATAAGCACTCGCTGCCAAGCATGAAGCTATCAAGCATGTGATAGCCTTCACTGATTGAGAAATTAATTGTTTATATTAATTATCACTCCAGCGAGGTAAAAGTTAACGACATACAGGTTACTGGTATCCTACAGCAATTCTGTAATCAAAATGTTTTTGTATTTAAAATTCCAAAGGCAGGCTTTCAAATATATGTCAAGACTAATCTTATGACGTATTAGTGAGGCTTGTTCAAATCAACCTGCTTTCTGAACTGGTGTTTAGTGAAGAAATGAAATGTCAAGAATGAATGAATAGAAGGGTGCAATATCCATACTGCTCCAAGTTATAATTCACAAACTATAAAAGATCAGCAGTGAAAGTGCACTAGTCCAGGACTAACACAGCTAAATACAGGTCACTAGCGTGTAAGTTACGTTTGGTAGTCACGAATCACGATCATCTAGTATCTAATACCTATTACTGCTCAAAGTAAAGTTTTAGCGCCCCCTATATTACGCGGAGTTACACATAATACTGCCAGAATTATGACCCTTGATCACTTTGAAAAATCTTGTGTTCGCTCTAGAGGCTAAAGTTAAAGGAGCTAAGTCGCTAATATTTGGGACCTACAAATTGACGCAAATGGGTTGCAACACGTACAATAATGTAATATGAATGTATATAAATTGATTTACATTCAATCGTTTCTGTTTTTACTGTAATTTCAAATCAGTTAGATTCGGCGACATACGCCAGTATTCTCAATTGAATTTCAATCCTAGCTTCTGGCTATTCCAGTCTACGCCGATAGTATTTATTGGGCATGCTCTCCAGATAAGAATATACATGTAGCATCACCGTTTGACATGACTTGTGGAATATGCCTAGCCTCGTTTTTCGAGTCCCTTATTACAAATAGGGCTGAAACGCATTATGGTACACGATTCGTGTACCAATTGTAAAATGTTTATCTTGTCTTAAATATTGGATATCAGAATGCCATCTTTTCCCGGTAAGATCACAACATCAATGTTGATTTAAACCGACAAATAAATCGTGTTTTCAATGTCGAAGATTTTGGATGATATTGAGTTAGAGACTTAGCTACTTTAATATCCGATTGCATTTAAATTTATACAGTGTTTAAGGTCATGAGACGAAGAAGTCTATTCATTTTCAGTGATTTCCAATAATTACTGCCAGAGTTATGGCCCTTGATCACTTCAAAAAATCTTGTGAATGCTCTAGAGGCTAAAGTTAATATCCGATTGACTTTTAATTTATACAGTGTTTGAGGTCATGAGACGAAGATTTCCGATAATTACTGCCAAAGTTATGGCCCTTGATCACTTTGAGAAATCTTGTGACGCTCAAGAGGCTAAAGTTATCATCTGATTGACTTCAGATTGATACACAGAACAAGTATATTGATTTTCAATGAATTTTTATGACTTGTAAAGCGGCATGCCTATGGTGTCCTGCGTTTGCACGCCTTTAATGTGACAATTTTTTTCAGTTGGTTATATACACGTAAGCTTGCGTAAGGCACTTCAGTAAATAACCTGTCACTCTCAATTATCAAAGACCAATCACATGGCACATTATCCATACATGTAGGTACACACATACGCTCTTAAATTGTTTATGTC